TGCAAAATGAACATGCTCTGCTGTTGAAAGAAAATAAAAATTTGAAAACACCAATAAAGTATGTCAAATAAAACCTCTAAAGAACCGAAATGTCCAGAAATCAATTGCGCGAAAAGTTGAAGAGGTTAGATGTCTCGAGGTGGAAACATTTATGTAAGGTCAAAATACATGCTCAAGTTCGGTGAAGAAAAAGTTGCAAAGCGGTGGGCCGAGAGACAGAAACTAAAAAATACACTGCAGCAAAATGATCACTATGAAGTCAGCCTGTGAAACAATCGTTTTCTGAATTCCATAGTTTCTGAAGAATCGATTCCTTCAATGATTCTAGGAGCATTCAAAGAATAACTTTTCGATACAGCGGAGGAAGGCCTGAGGCCGGACGACATCAAGAGAGAAAGACGCAGGTCTCAAAAGTCAAAAGAAAAGGCGAAGAGTAGTTGAGATTTCTTCGAAGATAGAAATCTACATTTATATAATACACGTTTTTGACTGAATCATTTTAGATGGTTTCCCTTTATAGAATAGTTTATTGGTATGGAGATAAACATACATATTAGATATGTCCAATATTTGTAAATGTATTATTTATGTTCTTTGTTTCTTACTTTAAAGTATTATAATGAAGTTTTGTACTATTTTTAACTCTGCTTTATATATATCATCGCTCAAGGATATATCTTGTCCATGGTTAAAAGTAAATTATCATTAACGTTACCAGGCCCAGTCAAATGAACGTTTTCAAAATTTAATTAAAAATTGTGCATTCATTGTTATTTATTTCGTTCATCTAACTTTTGCAAACATTCCTATATTAACACAAATTGAGAAATCAATTGATCAGATAATATAAGAATTTACATAAAATTAGTTGAACAAAAAAATCACAATGAATGTAAAAATTTAGATTAAACATTGATGCCGGTCATTTGACCGGAACTTTTTAAAAAAATTGAAATTGGACATAAGTAAACTTATGAATCAATATTTTTCAAAATTATCGTAATTTAGTTCGTTTTCACATGCGTATTTAAATCCGGACAGATTTTACCATAGACGAAAGAGAGATCACTTTACTTTTTATAAGAACACGTTTGTACTATACAGAATGTAACAGTTACGGTAATATTAAAAATATGAGAATTAATAAAATTCAATAATGCAAACCGAAATAAATGCATAATTATTATGACAATAATTAAGAGCGTTTAATCATTTAACACTAAACCTACCGACACTTCGTGTATATCTATGCTACCGTGTACGGTCAAAATGACTGGTGATGAAAGAAGTAATAGTTTTTGTGATTTATCTGAGATAATGGTAAATTTGTAACTAAACGTATATAAAATGATGAACTTTCATAAAATTTGGTCTAAATTTACGTTTGTTTAATTTCAATTAT